TATTTATTAATTATTAACAGTGTAAACTCTTGTGTAGACTAGACAAGCATTTTTATCAAGGTCAGATGACATGGTGGCCACAGAAAAACAAAACCTTGAACTCTTGTCTATGAAATGTAAAAAAGTTTCCCAATTCACCTATAAAAGTACAGACAGTGGTGACCTTAACATAAATACAGTCCTTGTAATCTATCCCTTAGTGGAATGCCTCCCTAAATTATTTCTTGAGTCAACTGGGTTGTCCTTATCTTACAAAGTCCTGTAATTAAATATAAAAACAATAAAAGATGTGTACAGTATGGCATAATACTTCGACCTAACACTAAGCCGTCTATGTGAATTTCTTTTCTATAAACCCACAGTGTGTTTTCATAACAGTTACTACTTTAGGATATTTCCTAATTTATAAATAATTTAATCTGTGAACAAAACAGAGACAGTTAACCATGAAATACAACGCTATAAATACATTCAAGGGGTTCTGGTAACACAATAAATCACGAGAGCAAAGTTTGCTTCCTTTAGGTTGGTTGCAAGAACTCAAAAAATGTGTTTATCGCTTTGTTCCCTTTCCTATTTTTTATTCCATGTAACACAGATTTTACAGTTGTGTCCCTTATTCTAAACCCTCATTATCCTTTGAGTTAAAAAGGAAAAAAAAACACCACTTGTTAATACACTGTAATGTCATTTCAATTGTTCTCTCCCATAACACCAGCAAGGTCTTGGATTTCAGAAATACAACAAATTGCCAGTTTTTAATTAATTTTTAAAAGTTAAAATTAGGGGTGTACATGGCTTCAGAGATAGCTTTGCTAATAGAAAATGAAAGTCATTGTGCAAAACAGACAAATCCTATTCAGAACCAGACAGCAAGATGGCAACTGTTTTTATTTTTTTGTTTTATAAACAAAAGAGCAAAGAGCTGCATTGCTGCAGCTTTTGCCATTAATTTTGAAGATCGGAGTGCATGCTTACAGGGCACGGAAACATCAGTAAAGCAGAGATGCAACACTAAATCCATGAATTAATATGTGCCTTCAGCTGGCTTTTTTTTTTTTAATGGAAATGCTTTGAGATATTTGCCTTATTGTTTTACGGTAAATTCAATGCTTGCAGCATGTTGTCTGCAATAGTTTCCCTAACTTTACAAAATACAAACATTTGTTTCCATTATCACAAATAGTTTGTTATGAGAAATTAATTGTACCTTCCCCTTTCTTTCACTGTTTGCCCACAATTGTAGGTAGGGGTTCTACATCCATTCTTTCTGCATAAATAAAAACCTCTGAAATGGACAAACTCGCAAAAGCAACCTCTAGATTCTAAATCTAGTCAAGAGGTTTCTCCCCTAGGTCGGCCTTCAGCACATTAGTTGCCCAAGAGCACCATCTGGCGGACAAAGAGTAATTTGGGAAATAAAAGTTCTGTCTAAAAAAATAATTTCCATTTTTATCAATGTTTCCCCAGCTTTTCTTGTTGGAACCTCCTCCCAGCAATGACTTGGTGCCAGGCATCACCTCTCACTTTCCTCCATATCCCCTTGTCCTGGCATGGATGCCCCATTACACCATGTGTCAGCCCCTCCTCCCTCTCTCTTGTTTCCCCCCCCCCCGTCTATTCCTTCAACCACTACTCCTCCCCCTGCTTTTTTTTTTAAAATGGAATTCTTTTATTCCACAGGCTGCTATTTTACTTCTTTTCCTCCCTAGCCATTTGTCCCCACTTCTAATCATCTCCCAGTTTACTATCTTCACACTACCAGTCTCCACCAATTCTATTTCTGTGTTTTCATAATTCTCATCTCCTCCTTGGTCTTCTGGCCTCTCCCCTTGTATTCACTTGTTGCAGTGTCATGAAAACACAACTCATTGGGACAGGAAATCTTTGTCCACGTGTCTCGACCAAAGCTGAGAGGTGGTACAGGTTCCAGAAACTCTTTTCCCTTCTGCACCTCTCCCTTAGACATGATGGGGTTCATTTCAGTCTGGAGATGCTTGTGTGATGTTACCCATGTGACAGCTATTTTAACGATATCCAGATTTATTAAAACCACAGAGAAAATGGAATTAAAAACAAAAAAAAAATGGTTCATGTAATAGATTCACACTTCTCAAAGAAAAACTAGAGAAATCGTTCCCAGTTTAGTTAGAGATGAAAATAAGAAAAGTGAAAGCTTCTAACTTTTGAAAGCAATCCTTTCTCTCTGCCCCCTTTTGGTCAGATTGTCTGCATCTCTTGCTGTCCAGAGAACAACACACACTTTGTGTGTCTAGAGAGCTCTCTTATCAAATCCTCCCCGATCCAGTGCTGCTACCCTAACTTTCAAAACCAGTTTTCTCCAGTTACATGCATACATAATAGGGTTTACATGCACTGCTTTCTCCATGAGATGGACCACTGGGGATACAAATATCTTTCACTGATGATGAATAGCTTTCAAAGACTCAACTACTTAGTTCAGATACCGACTTTCAGACTACCTTGGCTGGTTGTATTCTAATTTTGGTCAGGGCTCGATTAAACTCCCTTAAGCAATTTGTTTTTTGACAAACCCTCTGTCACATAGCCTGTCTACACTTCCCGGAGGACCAATATTGTGGCGATCGATGCATCGGCGGTCAATTTAGTGGGTCTAGTGAAGACCCGCTAAATTAGGGATTCTCAAACTGGGGATTGGGACCTCTCAGGGGGTCATAAGGTTATTACTTGGGGGGTTGCAAGCTGTCAGCCTCCATCCTAAATCCCACTTTTCCTTCAGCATTTATAATGGTGTTAATGTTTTTAATTTATATGGGGGGCGGGTCGCACTCAGAGGCTTGCTATGTGAAAGCGGTCACCAGTACAAAAGTTTGAGAACCACTGCGCTAAATCGACCACCAATCAATCACTCTCCCGTCGACTCCTGTGCTCCACCTGATTGAAAAGAGTAAGGGGAGTCAATGGGAGAGCATCTCCTGTCGACACCGCATAGTGTGGACCCCGCCGTAAGTAGATTTAAACTATGTCTATTTGAGTTACGCTATTCACGTAACTCAAATTGCGTAGCTGAGATTGACTTTTCCCTTTAGTGTAGACAAGGCCCAAGTTACACACTACTTCTCCTAGTGATTACAAAGACAGCAGAGAGCATGGCAAGAAGTACTAAGCAGAACCACCAAAAAGGAGAGAGAACACAGAACAGTTTCCCGGAAGCTCCCCACATGGCATACAAGAAAGACCAGGGTTCCACCCCTCTCTCAGAGCAGACCTTTATGAAGGAAGGATTCATCCAGTAAATTGGAGAAGTGCATGTATTCTTACAAAGATAAGTTTGCTTCTCCTTTCTTGATGGTCTCATTGCTTAACTACTCCCTTAGGATATTTTGCAGTTTCTTGGATGGTTCTCTAAGTAGCAAAATTGATTCCGATAGATATTTCACATTTCTCTGACTGTACAATGAGAGCTGTACTAACAGTCACTTGTTACCCATAGTCACCTGTGTCAACAACCAGCAAAATCCTACTTCCTCTAGAAATTTCCTTTCTCCACTATTTCAAATCAGAAATAGGTAGTAACTCTAAGGGAACTTCTATGCAGCCAGAGACCTGTCCAGCTGTGTAAACAGTATTGCAACTAATCTACTAAGGTGAAGCAGTTGGAAAAATGAAGCTATTTCGAGAATGGGTTGTTTTTTTAATCCAAAGCTGAAGAATGTTAGTTAAAACTGTGTTTACTTTCCTCACAAGAGAAGCACAGAGGTAGGATAACACCTGAGGGGGTAAAAAGAAGGAACCTCAAGAACTGGAGAGGTCCAGAGGGTAGAATGATTCCTGAGGCCAGTAAGGGGATTGGTACGTAGCCATCTCGGAAGAGAATGATCCAACTTGTGCAGGTTCCTCAGACCTAGGGTCAATCGTAAACTTTCTAGGAAACTCACAAATCCAAAGGACTTTGGGGTGAACCTCTGATCCCATTCCAGATGAAATCAAAGTTGACCTTGACAGTCCTCAGATCCAAGCCCCTTCCTCGGACTAAGATTGCTTCTGAGTGACAAGGTGAGCGAATCCAAGCAGCTCAGAGTCAAGAAGAGAAAGACAGAAGAGGAATTAACAAGTCTAGAAGAATGAAGTATGAACTCATAATCATCCCAGGCCCACCAGGTCTAAAGCACCACACTCATCTCAGAACTCAAAGTCAAGGGGCAACAAACCAACAACAGAATCACTACAGGAAATAATTTTCTTTCGCACTGATGTGGAGAAGGACTAGTTCAGGTGAGTTCTTATACCTCCTCACAGAGAAGGAGTTTCAGGTAGCACTCATATCTGAAGATGGCAGAAGCATGCACATGCAGAACACCTTTTCAGGGAATGTCCATCTTCACAACATATCAGACATTCAAATACCACAGCGATAGGGGGCATACAACATCAGAGTGCCGGCCTGCCTTAGACACCTCCCCACCGCATGATGTGCGCCACTTACAACCTGATTTTTTTTCTCCCAATCTGGCAGGCTATCAATTAGGGTAGACTTCGATTTGAATGCCCGCAATCCCACTCACTGGGAATCAACAGGGCAGAACCAACAACAAAAAGCGCTGAGGGGGCTGGAAATGTGTAACGGAGCTGAAAACTGCACAAATAAACAAAAATAGGACTATACTTTTTAAAGATTGTAACTAGACAAACTAGTTTATCCAAAAAAAAAAAAAAAAAAAGAAAGCAAGCTGCTGCAGCAAGGCCTTGCAGACACCAGACATGCTTAGCGAAGGGTTGTTGAGCCCATGAGACCATATACCCCTCTATCAGTGTTCAGATTCATAAGGGGGCACACTTCTTCCCAAGAGTGTCTAAAGCACATCATACTAAGGGCATGCGCAACTCAACAGTGGGGCTCTTGAGAGACAATTTTCAAGAGATACCTGGCTCTCAGCTGCAATTCAAGAGTGCAACATTAACTAACCTTTTGGCCAGGGTTGGGGAGGGGGTAATGACATGTATAAAACTACACATACTTCATCATAAATGCTCCCATTGATATCTGCTCCATAGATCGGTGCCACAAAGGTTAAATTCTTCCAGTATTTACGCTCCAGATCTTCATAATCTATATACCTTGGAGTGCAGTATCTGCAGAGGGAGAATGAAATTAAAGGCAATATTTCAGAGGATCTTAATTGACAAGTTGTCCTTTCACTTTCATGGTTTTGATGTCTCCCAACATCCACGTTCATGATGTGCTTTATATTTGATTTTGCGGACCAAGTACTTTTAGACAAATATATCAGTTTCACACTCTTTAGTCCTTTCTCATATTCAACAGTCCTAAACCTATAGGTTTCATAGTAGCAATGCTTTCAAAGTAACACTGGGTAATTTCTTTCTCAGTATTTATGTCGCTATTAGTCCTGTGCCACCCAGATCATTTGTTCCTGTCTCAACAGATGGAAGGACCGTCTACTGCCTGTTCTGAGTTTTAGGCCGTTAAGCGTGATTGTTGTCACCCAAGGCACTTGAAAAAGCCAATACACTACTAGTTAGTAGTCCTCACAGTCTCTCTTCACCACCCCATCCTCCATTTTAGCCTACTACATTTCCTGGGCTGGTGAAGAGGCACTACTGTTAATAAACAATATGGTCACCAGTTCCTACCCTTGTACTGCAGGAGCATAGACACCAAGGAGTGTGCACACACCTGCTGGTCCTAGCAGAAGTGGGTCCTGCAGATTATCCCCAACAGGTCCAAAAGGCAAGTGTTCTGCCATTTAGTATCCCTGGCCAGAAGCAAGGGGAGGAATCCCAATGCTCCTGTGGACCTTGCTTTCCTTTCTCCCTCTCCCAGATAAAGCTTTTTTGGGAGAAGTGGACCAGTTCTTCCAGTTGTCAGAAATCTTTGGAGGATCTTGTCTTCATCCCTTTGGTTGTCCCAGATGCATGAGGCATTTTAACATCCTTTTCTGTGGCCTGGGAAGATTCTTCTAACTTCCCATAGAGGGAGCATGCCTCTATTGCCATGCAGACTACTCTGCCAAACCTTTTCCTCAGGGTATCTGGCCACAGTACTCCCTTATTTAGAAAGTCTTTAGGAAGGGAAAATTGCTTCCATAAATGCAACAACTTGGGAGAGGGGAGAGAGTTTCAGATCAACTCTGCAAGCTCTTTCTGTTCAGACTGCTTGGAAGAAAACTTGGAAGTACAGGAAGCAGGAGGTAATGCAGCTGACACAGCCTCTATTAAGAAGGATGGAGGAAGAGCCTCATGGTGAGCTGACTGTCTCTCAGCAAACAGGAGTTGGACCCCAGCAATCTATGAGTAACCAGAACTACAGACCAGGGCTTCTCTTAAATGCTGTTTATAACTCAGACTAGAGCCCTTCAGCCATGTTAAGATGACACCAATGTTCAGGGTATGCTCATTTGGGTATCCCAAATGAAGGGGAAAGCAATTTAGTGTCACAGAGATATGCCCATAGAAAGGAAGCTGGCCTCCACAGAAACCTGACTTCTTTGAAGAGAGGGAAAATCTTCTTTAAAGAAAGCTTAGGAGCTTCTGCTATTACATTGTTTAAGAAGAATGGAACAACCTAGGAGGCTTTTAAGTACTCCTAACTCATATAACCTTATTAAATATAACATAGCAATATGATTTTATAGGTAGCGGGATAAAACAATTGTAACTACAAATATTTCTGAAATATTTTCTATTATGGTGTGTGCAGAATTATGGTTCTGTTGGCACTCGTGGGATATCCTATGTAAGTGCATGGTTACTCATTATTTCATAGGGTGACCAGACAGCAAGTGTGAAAAATCAGGACGGGGGTGGGGGATAACAGGCGCCTATATAAGACAAAGCCCCAAATATCGGGACTGTCCCTAAAAATCAGGACATCTGGTCACCTTATTATTTCACCACTTGTGAGTAAAAGAAAGAATCCAAACTATGTCTATAAGACCTTTATACGACTACATGGCATTTTATATTCTATAATTTTTATATTGTATTTTTATATTGTATTGTATTGTATATTGTATATTATTATATAAATTTTATATTTTATATTGTTTATATTATATTGTTATATTTTATATCCCCCTATGCAGATGTGAGGACATAAAACAAATGATCATAGCAATCTAAACAGATGTCATTATCAGCAGGATTTAAAGTATGCTGGATCATAAGGGGTCATAGACACAGGAAATTAAATTTCTAAAAAGTGAACCAGTTGCAGAGGTGCACTCTTTTAGTATCACCTTGGAGGAAAAGCCTTCTAGTTGGCTACTTTACCCACTTGTCTGCCTCCTGGGGAGAAGCAGCCAAACAGGGATGCTGCAAGAGGCAGACAGTTATTTCCCTTCCCCTCAAGAGCCCGCACCATTCATGGCGGTGGGGGAGGAGTGAGCAGAAAGATCGCACCCACTCAGAGCAGTTCACGGAGGGCAGTTCCACTCCCTCTTTCCCCACCCTCATAAGACCAATAAGACAGCTCCTCTGCTCCTTCCCCCTCTGCTCTCCCTCCATGCAGCAGCAGCATCTGGCCTGGGAAGGCAGGGAAGGGTCTCCGTTGCAGTCTCCCTTCCCTTAGGCCTGTGGGAGGGGCTGAAGAATTCCAGGTGCTGCAAGAGGAGCAAAGGTGAGGCAGGGGGCAGAACTGATGTGGGCACTAAAGGGGATAGTAGAAATATGGGGGTAAAATTGACTTGGGGCATGGTGGGGGCAGAATTGCTGGCAGAAATGGGACAGAACAGATGTGAGGAGTGGGAGAAAAACTGATGTGAGGACAGGGGGATGCACAGATGTTGAGGTGATGACAGACTCAACATTTTTTTCAGACCACTCTAAGCACTGAGTAGTGCCTTCTACCAACTCCCAGAAGAGGGACAAGGATGGCCTTCAGTAAGTAAGCGAAAACATAAAAATTACCTGGTGCCTAAAAAGGTAAAAAAATCACAGTGAGGGGAAAAGTTTACACATTCTCCTTTCCAAACAGAATACTGAATATACATACTTGTCACTGTTGGCCAGTTGCCTGAACTCTTTCACAGTCATTGGCTTTTTCTGAATGTTGTATTGAGTGAAAAGCCCTGACTGACCAGTGACCATCTGCTGAATTGGAGCTGGAATCACTAAATCATCAATGTCGTTGTAATGTTTTCTCGGCTTCCACTCCTTGGGTGGGATCACCTGAAAAGTCAGAGCAGCAATACACAAATCAGCATAGCTACTGCTGATGTCAAAAATACTTTTGAAGTGGATGAAGAAACAAGTAAATCTAATACAGAAAACTTAGCAGATCTGACCGAAAGATTTAAAGATTTAATTAAGTTAAAAAATCTTGTTGTCCATGAACATTGTGTACCATCTAATTTAAACATAACCTCTTCAATATTTTTTAAAACTAAATAAAAGTATAGAGTTATTTGCTGAATGCCTCTCTCTATCTTCCTATCTGGGTTATTCAGTAAATCTTACAAAGTCTGATCTATACACAATTTTTATTCCAATTTAAACTATTTCATTTAGGGGCATGATTTTTTTTAAACCAAATTTGTTAAATTGGTACAACCCCTCATGTGGATGCATATATATTGGGCTGTCTTAAACAGAGTTTATTCCCATAAATTTATGTAATAAAACTAAGTACAAAAACTGTGTGTATACAAGCTCCAATTGATTGTAAAGTTTTGGGTTTTTTTCGTTTCAGGTTCCCCTGATTCACACCATCTGATTCCAAGTTCTGCTATGACTCTCAAGCATGCACCATGCTATTCACAGCCATCAGGAATTTTACAGAAACTGGAGTTCACCCAAATGGTCTCATTCAAGTTTCTTCTTTTAGGGTATTAGGTAGTTTTGAAAAGATGTTTTATATATTATTACATCCCAAATGGAAATCTCTCTACATTCCAAATATTGTCTATTTATCTTTTAATTCACTATTTTGCCAACAAGACATTTTTTAAAACACTGCAATACCTATTGTTTATGTAGAATTCTTTATATATAAACTTCATATATTTGTATTATTGTTATTATTTAAAGACTGAAGACATTTCCTCCTCTTTCCCCTCACTTTTAGTTTTGTCTTTTTATATGCTACAAACATTGGAAGTATTTGTTTAGTTTTTGTAAAAAGCACACAGCAAGTATGGCATTGTTCATTATTTCTATATATGTGCATTAGCATCAGCTAACAAAAATCTTGGATGAGTTTATAAGAGTTAATCTGTATTCCCTCTGATAGCAGGCTGTTTCTTCAAAATGCAAACATTTTAGGGTTATATATAAAAGTGGCTATTGCATTTTTGTTTATCTTTAAAACACCTTAGTGAGAGTATGGAATTTTAGAATGCATCTGAGACCTGAAGATCATTCATTGTCTCCAGATAACAACATGGTCAAATTTTAAACCTAACCCACTTGAACTGTACAAACCTAGAACATGTAGGAAATACAAATTTAGACAATCAAAGAAAATGTTTTTAGCAGATAACCATTTCCTGTTAAAGGCATAGTTAATATTTCTAATTAAAATGTAATAGTTTAATCCTGCACTTCCTACATGGTTAAAACTCACATTTTCTTTTCTTTTTTTTTTAATTAATTATTATCATCATCATCTTTCATGTGACCTTTGGCCATCTAGGGACTGCAACATTGGGCCCAATGTTTCCTCTTCTTAAAGAAACAAGAGTGTTCAACTGTCTAGTCTTGTAGTTTCCATTAATGTTTTCACACAAGTCTTAACAAGTTACATGCACAAAATACACAAAACACTGCTTTGGAAGCAGAGAAGCCGTGCATTCAAAATGTATGCATAAAAATCAAGTACGTGCATAGAGATTTCCATTTTCATTACTATTAGGCATGAACTTGTAGGTTTGGCTCCACAACATGAATATTAAAAACCAGCATTTGCATTCTTTTGTTTAATTCAAGGTCAACAGTCTTTTGTTTTTAGCAATATGCAGCATGAAATATTTTTGTGAATAATATACAAAGTATCCTCCTTCAGCAAACTGGAGCACATTTATTGTTTAATTGTATTACAGTGGTGCTTAGCGAGCCCACCTGAGATTGGGACCTCACTGTGCTATGCGCTCTCCCTGTAGTGAGAGAGTCCCTGCTCTGAAGACTATCATCTAAATAGACATGACCGACAAAGGTTAGAGACAGGGAACAGAGACAAAAATTAAGTGACTTGCCTGAGATAAGTAGTTCAATGGCAGACCTGAGGACAGAACCTAAAAGTCTCTTGATTCTCAGTAAAGTACCCTTTCCACTAGGTCATGCAGCCTGCCTCCCCCCCAATCACAGCCCAAGAGCCTGTGGCCACAAGAAAAGGCTTTGGTGGCCGCATTTGAGAAACACTGGACTAAAACCAAGACAGTGCAACATTCAGGCTTTATTCCTCCTTCAGTATGTACAGTGCTCTCTCATCTAGCACTTCCTGAAAGCAGAGTTCTCATTCCTATATATAATTACAGTATGGCTCTCCTTTTTTGGGTAGCTATCTATCGTAACAGAGGTATACATTTAAGACTACATACTCCCCTCAATCTCCCATTGATTTTAACAATCAGTTTGCAAAAAGATCAAAGGTAGAATATGGCCTTTATTTAGTAATTAAACTTTTAGTTATCGTGTATTATTTCCTCACGAACTTATCACATTCAGCATCACTCACTGGAAAAAACAGGCTCACTGTTAGGATCATCACACTATCAGGCCTTTGTGTCTTCTTTTCACAGTTTCTCTCCCCCTCCCCTACCTTTTTCTCTCTCCTCCTTTAATCCCTCTGCATTTTCTTCCCTAAAGCAACTCACAGCTCCCCCTCTCTGTGAGCATCACTACCCTCCACTTCCTCATCGCATCTGATAAAATGATGAGCAATAATACAGTGCTGACATTTAAAGTGAAACATGCCGGATGTTTCATTAGACTGTCAGGAGATCCAGAAATAGAACACCTGCATAAGTGGGTCAAGGCAAAGGACCAAAAGTCCACGATAGAGGAGAAAGAAATCCAGAGGGAGAATGCCTTTGAAAAAATTCTGTGAGTGGTTGAAAAACAGAAGCATGCTGGTCTACAGAATTTGTTAGGGGCCACAAGTACAAACGTGCAGGCTTTGGTATATGTGGGAGAAAAAAAAATTGATTTCAGTAAGGAGCACGCTTGATTCTGAAGTGTATGCTTGGACTAGAGTCTGCTCTCTAAGGAACAGAAAGTCCTTACGCCTGCTATGTTCTGGTAAAAGTCCAGTTTTACTGAACATGACTGAAGCAGCAAAAAGGTGGGATGTTACAAAGAGGAGATAGCTCTCCTCTTTGTTATTATGTTATAATATAATAACATTATAGTTATTATGATGTTTGATGTGATGTTATTTGTTAAGGCCAAAAAGGAGTTCTCCTCGTGATTAAGAATATTCTGTACAGCTTTCCCAAGAAATGGGCAAGACTATATGGGGCAGGTATGTTACAGGGTGTGCTGCCCCATTAGTGGGAGCTGTGCCTAATTACCTGACTCTCAGGCGATGGGTTTGAGCTTGGATTGATGGTAGGGTCAGGTGACTGGACATTGCATAAGGGTAGCTGAGGTTGGCTATCTATAAGCGGGAGTCTTCTCCCCCAAAGAGAGGAAAATCATGGGATGGCTCTCTGGAGAGGGCCTGATGTCCTGATAAAAGGGTAAAGAGGAGGGAGTAAAAAGTAAGCCCCACCTGCAGGAGATCCAGAAAAGAGCCAGGGTCAGAGAGGATGGGGTGTGGCATTGACTTTATTTAGCAGCCAGAGAAAAAGGCTTTGCTGGAGCTGTGTGCAGAGAGGGGGATGAGCAAAACCCTGAAGTGGGAATTAGGAGCTCAGGAGAGGCATAATGGACTGGTGAGCCTGGAGAAGAAGGCGAGGCGATTGTGTCTTTGAGTTCAACTGTTCGTTTATGTTAACGAACCGGACTCCAAAAAGGGAGAGTAATTCGAAAGCATAAGAGTTGGGGAGTTTTCTTTTCCTGGGGAAAAAAGGAAGGAAGGAAACTGAGGCAGCAGTAGGATCTCACTGGATAAGGTAAGAGCCTATTTTAGGGGATGGGGAAGAACAAGCGGATTGTCTCTCATGCTGCTGCCGCCCTTCTTCCTCCCTGCATCTGACTCTACATGAAGCCCTCGCGGCATCCAGCAGCCATTCTGCTGTGGTTGCTGGCCTGCCCTAGAAGGGAGATATAGTGAAAAATATTGTTCCTAAGATACTGTGGGTCTGATCAATCACTACCTCTTGGTAGTGGGAAGGATTTTTCCCTTGGGGGCAAGAATGACCAGGCATCTGGGATGGGGAGGGGAATTCACATTCATCATAGCATCCCATTCCCAGAGGTGCAGTTTTGAGTTAATAAGAGTAAGAACAGGAAGTTACAGCTGTATATATGTAAGTGGATTGTAATGATAAGTGCAAGGTATATGGGGCGAGTTGAACAGGTAGTTCTCCTACATAGTAGACAGTCTCAACCGCAAAGGGTAGTTTGCTTACAGATGGTCCTAGCACATCACTTAACTCTCATTAGAGGCTCCAAGTAGCTGCATGTGTACCACAGGGCCAGACCTCAGGACTTGGCCTCAGCTGGCATGCAAAATCTAGTGAGGATAGCTAGTGGCAGCAACCACAAGTGAAGGGTACATCTGGCTCTCTGAGTAGACAGAGGCAGCGGGGCCAAATGTGAGTGGAGCTACGGCCTTGTGTGGCAGTCACAACATCACTCAGCTTGGGAAAACTCTCAAATAGGTGAGTCTAGAGCAAACCGCCTCTTTGAACTCCCCTTCTCTGGATGACCCTGAATGAAATGTTCTGCTTCAACCAGCAGAGGGCTTTGGAGGTCAAAGCAGGACAGTCAAACCTGGGACTGCTGGGAAGCCTGGAGTTGTTACTTGCAGTGTTCCCAAAAAATCCTTTGATTTTTATAAGCTGGTGTTACAATTAGTGGTAGCAGCTTCAAGATGGCAAAAACACGTTTGCCTAAAGTTTCTTCTCAGTGGTCATGCAGATGAAACTGGAATCTGTGAGTACTTGATAGACTTTGAGCTGCTGCTCTCTGTGAATGAGTGGACTGATGAGAAAGCATCACAGAACATAGCAGTGTTTTTGAATGATGATGCCAAAGCTTTTTACCAGAAGCTTCCCAGTGTGAATCAT